AAGTTTTTTTTTATATACATTGATACCTGTTTTATCTGGACTTCTGTTTCAGCTATGATGTGATTTTTCTGCTCATTTCCAAACTCACTGTAGGCAGGAGAGAAGTCACGTGCTGTGCTGTGCTGAGTCGCTCAGTTGTGTCCGACTCTTTGTGACCCCATGGACCGTAGCCCACCAGGCTCCTCTGTCCATGGGATTCTCCAGGCAAGAACACTGGAGTGGCTTGCCATGCCCTCCTCCAGAGGAATCTTCCCAACCCAGGAATCGAACCCAGGTCTCCCACATTGCAGGCAGATTCTTTCCTGTCTGGACCACCAAAGAAGACTGAGAGAAGTCATAAATACTGATAAAATCAAATTCAGCTGTCTGCTTTCGTGTGAAACACACCATGATGGTGAATCATTGAAAAAGCACTGTAGGAACAATTTTTATACAATTATGTATGTAAAGTTAATCCTTGTTGAAGTTCCAAAGTTGATCTAATTAGTAAAAAGAAGCCATTAAACATTAGGTTTTTTTTTTTAATTGGAGGATAATTGCTTTACAATGTTGCAGTTGTCTCTGCTAGTTTTTCTTTTTAAGCATTATAAACACCTGGGTAGAATACTTATTTACAATGGATAATATGGTTATATTTTGCATTACCCTTTATTACTAAAGCTATGGATGATTAACCAAGCTTTTGTGAATTTTCACATCTAATAGCTAATATATGGATTTTTTTGGCCCAAAATATTTTATGTGTATTTTGATATTTCTGTTCACATTGAAGATTAGGAAAGATTATTTTAAGACCTCTTTGCAGCTCTCTTCAATTCATAAGGTGAGTTGAAAGAGATTTCACAAAACTCTTCTCAAAGGGCAAACAGGTAAGACTTGAACTCCTCGGCTAAGATAACCTTCATCTATAAAGAGAAATCTTTATAAAATATCCGGAACAATTTCTGCACTCTGGGCAATTAATTGGAGGGAAAACCATAGAGAATAACAGTAATCATCTACCTCTAAAATATATAATTTGTATACAGTATTTGAACTATCGGAAGATGGGAGATCAATACATGTAGCATGTGTTTATCCATAAATATTGAGAAAAGAAAGTGACATATGCCATTTAAAAAACATTATTCTGGTTAATTTATCAGTTTATGTTGCCTGAGCTTTTGTCTGTTAAAATTTAAGCAAGAGATTCTCATTTAAGGAACATATAACTTCTACATTTAAGAAATGGCTTTTGAAACTAATTTTATTTTTAGTTGTGCTGGGCCTTCCTTGCTGTGGGCTTTTCTCTAGTTGCAGCGAGCGGGGGCCATTCTCCAGCTGGGTGTGCAGCTTCTCACTGCTGTGGCGCACGAGCTCTGGGCCGTGTGGGCTCAGGCGCTGTGCACATGGGCTTGGGTGCCCCATGGCATGTGGGATCTTCCCAGGCCAGGGGTTGAACCTGCATCTGCTACTTTGGCAGGCAGATTGTTTACCACTGAGCCACCAGGGAAGCCCCGACTTCTACTTTTTTAAAAAGAATATTTACCATCGATATAACTAGTGGTGTACTGGAGCCAGTTTGTACCAGCTTATTAGAGCCAACTATCCATATGTTTTCATAATTCTGTGTTCAGTGTTGTTCCATTTGGTAGCTTCAAATCAAGGGTGGTGGAAATATTTCTACCACAGAAATTAAGTTACTAAAGCTCAATCCCCCACCACTAACTGCAAGGAGCTGGTTTAGCACTATATATCATTAAATACAAACATATAGTGAAAAAAATGTTGTTTGCTTGGAGTAAAAATATTTAAATAGGGAAACATTTCTGTTTTTTTTTTCCAGTGAAGATTATAAAATATGAATGTGGTTCTTATCAAAATCCACTATGCTTTATTAAAATGCTATCAAACTACACTGAAGTTCATCAGAAATAATAAATTGAATAGAATAAATATGAAATAAGAATAAATATGAATAAATAGAATAAATAAGAAAAAAGAATAAATTGGCATGTGTTGACTATTAAATACTATGAAACTACAATGATAAAAATAGTGTGATACTGGTGCAAGGATAAAAAAATTGAGTAGAGCAAAATATTATACATTTATAAGAAAATGTCTCTGCCATCTACCACAATAACATATATGGAGAGAAAGGTGTTAATATTTACTGTGGGAATAACTAATTGGTGTTTCATATATTAAAAATAAAAATCATTTGTGCCCCTTGCCTCATCAATATTTCAAAATAGAAGAAAGTTAAATATATAACTACAGAAAAAGAAATGAAATGTTTATAATTTTTTACCAAGTAGAAAACTTTCTAAGTTCTCTCCCTTCAAACTTGTTTCCAGAAAGTTGAAAAGTTTGTTGTTCTCACTCCAATAACTCAAGTTTTTTTAAAAAAGAAATCCAATCAGATTGCTGAAGATACAAAGAAACATTAAAAAAAAAAAACTAAATTCCAGAAAATGATGATCCTTCCAAGAAAAGACAAACAGCTGCTTATATCCCTGGTGGGATTTTGGAAGAGAGAAAGCAGCCAAAATTTATCAGCAACATGTGGGCGAGTGTGACATTAAAATTCCCAAGCACCTGTCCATAGATCCACAAAGGCAATAGCCATCATTGAGTGCCAGGAACCCACTTGAAGTTCTTTACAAGGAGTATCATAAGAACTCTATGAATGTATTACTGCTACCTATATACAATTATTCCTGTTTTACAAATAAAGTAACTTTAGTGGAGAGGTCATCAGATCAAAGTTATGACGTGAATAGGGGAACCAGGATTTACGCTCAGGCAGCGTGACTGCATAGCTTTCAGTCTTACTATGATGCTTCTGTGTTTCCCAGCAAACACTGAGTCAAAGTTTATTCATCGACATGGCCTGATAAAGTTATTTACTGACTGAATGAACCCAAATTATTGAGCGCTTTTCCCACTTTTTCTACAAGGATGCAAACTCAATACATAAAATTAGAAATTTAAGAGCACTGAAAAATCAGGGAAACTAGGTTGATGGAAATAGATGGTTTTTACGGGTGCAGGTGCTATAGTTTTCTGCTCCAGAATTCTGATGCTTAAAACGTTGCCTATTTGAGATTTAACAACTCTTCTCTGCTTAAGTAGTATCCAAGAATTAATTTGCACATTAACTTAAAGTTTGTCAGTATTATGTACAATTCTCTCTTTCCTCATTGTGGAAAGCTATGCCTGGTATAGGGGTTTCGCTGGTGGCTCGACTTTTCGATGGTAAAGTCTGCCTGCAATTTTGATCCCTGGGTCAGGGAAGAGCCCCTGGAGAAGGAAGTGGCCAAGCCACTCCAGTATTCTTGCCTGGAAAACCCCATGGACAGAGGAGCCTGGCGGGTTACAGTCCATGGGGTTGCCAAGAGTCAGACATGACTGACTGACTTCACTTTCATGCCTGGTATCCATAGGGGATGGAGCAGGTATATTAAAACTACCATTTGGACCAACTTCTAGTGAAATAACTAGATATTTTTCAGAAAACATCTAGAGACTTGAGATTTTTTCTGAAGCTTCTTTTATCATTTAAAACAGGATTTACAGCTTGTCACCCACCAGGCAAACACCTACAAGTCTTGTGTTTGAATAAAAATAATAACATGAATATTTTGTTTATTCAATTATTATCCCAGACACCAACAGCAACAAAGCCCTTTTCAGATTTAGCAATGAGTTTGTAAAGGATTATAAAAATATTAGAACTTTTTCATATTTGATGTTTTCCCAAAATTTTATTTCTGGAAGTACTTTTTCCTAGGGGTCCCCAAGCAGAAGGAAGACAGAATTAAATAGAGTTTTGAAATTGTTGTCATGATTTATCTTATTTGTTTGAAGCAAGTAGTGAAATAATACATTAAGCTTTCCTGAGTTTGTTGTGAGTTTTCAGAACCACTTCTTGGTTTATGGGAAAAAAAAAAAGACTCGAACAAAGAAGCAGCAAAGTCAATTAATGCATTTTATTAAAAATTTTATTTTTGAAGCCTATAAATGAACAAATTCCAAAACAGTAGCCATACAGACTATGTCACAACATTTTGGCATCTACTTAGCAGTCCATTTTTGCATTGTTTCCTATAAACAAATACACTAGATTAAAACAACAGTGCCCTTAACCCCAAGTTCAATGCCTGAGTATTTCCAATACTTATTTTGAGCACATAATAAAGCAGAGGCAATTACTTTTCCTGAACATTTTATTTCCATTCAGAGCTTAGCAATTACTTTAGTTTCACATTATTCTGTTATAAATGATAACCAAATGGCCTATCTAAGTGGCTAAAATCATAAAACTATTATAAGCCAAGTCAATGTTATATATATATAAAGTTAATATAAAATGACAACTAAATTGGTACACATTTGTTTTGGATCCTACTAGAAATATGCCAAAATAACAAGTTTTAGTCAAGACTGAGGTCCTTGGGTGGGGGGGGAGAGTCATATCATCAAAAATTATTAGGAAAACTGTAGGTAAAAAAAAATCAGCCTACAATTTAAACAAAATAAAGGAGCAAAGAAGAGTACAACATTGTGGCGATGACAATTCAGGAAAACACGCTCTCCATCTATCACAGACTTGCTCACCGCCTCAAGAGCATCGCGTCAGGCTCTTTAGGCATTGCTATTCTCCCACTAAGTTTCTTTATGTGGAACATAAACCTACATCTATGGTAACAACAGAATTTTATAACTGCTCTTTAATCTCACAGCAAAAAACAGGAAAAAACTGTTAGGGCCAGAGTGAACCTCAGAACATCCCAGTACCCCTGAAAATAGGGGCAAAAAGTGAATCATTAAGAAACAGTATCCAAAGAGCACTGTATTATCTGGTGTGATTTATAAAACAAGTAAGATTCAGTACTCTTTGATGGGAGGAGCCAGAGTAGCTGAAATTCAGGAATGTTTTGATGCTGATTTTTTTTACTGATGTGGTACTCCAAGCTGTTAAGTTGGAACAAATTCCAAAGTCACAATGACGTGCATCACCTCAGTTTAATAATCCAGTAAATGACAAAAAAGACAAACAATGAGAATAGCATCATATAGCACAGCAACTTCGTTTGGCTCCCTCGGGATAAAATCTTCAGTTTTCCCATAGTTTTACCTAGAAATCCAGTTGTAGAATCAAACTGTGAATCCTATGAGGGAAAAAGGAAAACACAATAGTTGGGTTCTAACATTCTACATATGCATATTTGAGTAATTTAATGTACTGTTATTAGAATACACATTTAATGACATTTTCTGGAGCCTGTGTATAACTTGGATAATCAACCTGATTACTCCATGCAAAATAATTTTCTCAATAAATAAAAAGCTCTTTCATTATCCAATAAACATTCTTTCAGCTCCAGAGTAATTCAAAACCCCCAAATATTTAGGTCTTATTCTAATTATGTGGATTAAGAAACATTAACAATAAAAGTAGTTCATCTAGCATCACACAGGCTTCCCCCACATTTTGTTGGAGGTATCACTCTCCAAGGTTAAATGGTTGGCTGCTTCCCAGTACAGCAATTTACCCACTGAGCATGGTTAGCAGTTAAATGTACCTTTACTTTTAAGATCCTTTTGTTTAGGAAGCTGACTTTGAAGGTCAGCAGAAAGTTAAGAGACTATTAAAAGTTAAGAGACTATCATGTAGAGGTAGTAAACTGTGGTAAAGACTTCAAACATGGATGGGGAAAAACTGCCACATTAAAACACAGCTGGTAAAGTCCTGAAGGTGAGAGAACTATGTATGATTTGGAAAGACTGCACTTTCTTAGAAATCTCAATAACCTGAGATGTAAGGTCCTGACATAATGATAGCCTTTGTACAGCTCAGGTTCTAGGTAGCTTAAGCACTTTACATTTATAGTTCTTCACTAGGGCTATGCAACAAAATCACCTGGGATGTAAAAGTTTTTCAAAATACATATACTGAGCGATGCCCCCCTTCCTGAAATTCTGAATCAGAATATTTCAAGAGAGAATCAGGCATGGATATTTTCAAAGTTCCTCAAGTGATTCTAATGTACAACCTTCACCAGAAAATATTCAGTGCAATATTCATTTTTAAATAGTACAATTTTAAAAGCATTGAAGAAACTAGGGAAGGTCCAAAGGAGTTTGATGTCCAAAATAAACAGTAAGGAATGAAAAGAGCCTCTAGCAAGAAAAGGTATACCTTACTGAGCTTGTTTAGAGATAAAAGGCTTGGGGATGTTACTATATTCAATTTTATTGACTTGTTCACAGTGATCCTTAGGAGATCAAGCAGAAGACAGGTTTACATTAAGTGAAAGACATTTGGTTGACTGGATATAAAGCATTTACTTGGCAGTCTATATCCACTGAGATCTTAAAGACAGCTTGAAATAGTCATTTGTCCTGAGTCTTTAACAGTGTTTCTAAATACAAGATAAAATACACACTCCTACCTCCCCCTCCTACTGATATGGGTTGGGCAAGATGAAAAATGTAAAAATAGGGCAAAAACAACTCTTACAGTTATTCCAACCCAAATTTGAGAATATCCAACCAAGTTTCTTAAAGTTAAAATCATAACCACTTACCATTTCAGCTAATAATTTATTTTGATTTTTAACTTCATGGCCTATTTCAATGGAAAGCTACAAAGAAAAAAGCATAAACATTATTACTTACCTAAATGTTTTAAGTGTTATAAAGTAAAAACAACAATGCCATTCTAAGCATAAATGTTTTCTCAAATAAAACTGCATTCTTAAAAATATAAAATACACCTTATTCTTTGGTTATTTTTCCCACTGAAATTAATAAAAACTAATTTAGAAATTAAATGTCCACTTTTAAATGATGGGTATATCTAAGAAGCCATGACAAAGAAAATTAGAAAATATTTGTAGCAGAATAAAAGTGAAGAGCACTTATCAGAATTTATTGCATGCAGCTGAAGCTGCTCAATGCAACTAAATACAATATGGAATCTTGAATAAGGGATGAAAACAAATAATGAACACTAGCATAAAATTTTGTGAATTTGGGTAAAAGCTGCATTTTAGTTAATAATACTGTACCATATGTTAATTTCCTTTTTTTTAAACAACATAGTATATATGGGGTTTTTAAGGTATCTTTGATATTAAGTTCTCAGTTTGATATTAACTTCACATTTAAAAGCTTTCTTCTCTGCAATCACCCTCTGTTTTTTCAGTCTTTTAACTTTACTGAGGCTTTCAATGGCCAAGTCAAAGATCTCTCTTGGGAAAGGTCACATTGCACTTGAAGACATGTGGGTTATTTCCAAATATCTTTTGATACTGATCTCTAATATAATTCCACAGTGGTAAGAGAACAGACACTGTATGATTTCAATACCTTTAGGTCATCAAATTTTTGCACTTGGTCTTATGTCTCTGGATATGATTCAGTGTCTCCTAGTTTATAGTCTATGGGAACTTGATAGAATCTGTATCCTGATGTTGTGTGAAAACTGTATAAATCTTAATTATATTGAATTGGCTCACAGTGTTTTCAAGTCTACTATATCATTCTACTTTTCTGTCTACTCAATCCATTCATTTTTGAGAGTTTGATACTGAAATTCAACTAAAAATCTTAATCTACTTAAAAAATTAATTGTAATATATAGTGGAAATATTATTTCATTCTGTATTTTCTAAGTCTCCTATAAAGTTACCATAGTTTCATAATTAAAAAGAAAATTAATTTAGAATCTCTATTCCTTCTCAACTATGGACATTGTCTCCCTGTTCTTCATTTTGATTTAATCTTAATATTCAATTCCATCTTTTAATTTAGGTACATGTTTCTTTTCTGTCCTCTTATCCTAGAATTCTTTTTTCTATCTTTATATCATTCACACAATAGCATTTGTTTTTATATTTCTTCATTTACACTTTTAAAATGTTATTTAAGCTCCCATATTATCAAGTTCAGATACAAGTAATATTTTCCTAATGAATGTGACATTACTTTGAATATATGCCTAAATTAATTATTTCTTTAGATCCTAAGGGTATTTCTTCTTTAAAATTTAATAATAAATTGGAAAAAATTTACAAGTTAGTGTTATCCACATCATGAAGCTATGCAGAGAAGAGGCTGAGTCTAAATAAAGTATCATAAGTGACTACAGCTGCTATTCAAATCAAAACTTATCTAATACTTCATATGACAAATTCATCAAAGACTTCACTTCTAAAATAGCTGAATAAATACACTACTACTAAACCTTGGAAACTACTAAAAATCATAGTAAGCCACAGCAAATATTGTCCTCAACTTATTGTGTGTGGAAAGTATCTGTGGTAATATTAACACAAAACCATTCTAGGAGTCTATAGATCAGAATATAAGCTTTTCCCCAAAATTTAACAATTCAGAAATAATAAAGCAACTATGAAACTTTCGCCTAACTACTTTTACAACTACTTTTACAACTGTCATTCATGCCAGAGAAAGAACCACGAGAAAAAGGCTTTCTTCTAACAAGGAGCCTAAATTATCAATACTGGAACTAAAAAAAAAATCATTTAATCCTTAATTTCCTCCAAAATGTTGTATTTTCTAAATTATTAACATTATACAATATTGCTCAGTTCATAGATCAACTACTTTTGATTTAATATGACCTTGAAAACAATACTTTCAGGAGATAACAGTCTCTAGGCTGAAATACAATTCTATTTTTCAAAGACTAATGAACTATCAATTAATTTTTGGCAACATAAGCTTCCAATGAATGCTCTATAAGTGTACCACACATGCTTATTTTAATGCATAATCAAAACTATCTTTTGGTAACTCCTTTATTTAATACATATTAACTCAATACACCATAAGGAAGTACATTAAGTGCTATGCAGAATGTAAAACTAAGTACAACAAGAAAACCTTGTATCTGATAAATTTCTTTCACATACAAATAATTCCAGTGCAGACTGTTGTGCAGTAAGTGCTACAGAAATGGTACAAATGACCTTCTGTTCATGGGAAAAGGTTAGGTTTATGTGGTGATCAGGTGAAGCCTGGAGGAGAGAAGGTGAAAAGAGATGGAGCCTTTCAGACGTGCAGGACTTCAGCCAAGGTCAGGAGGGAGAGGAGGCCTTGGGCAAGGGGACTGCATGACCAAAGACACAGGAGTGGGAGGCTGACAGGACACACAGCACACGAGGGATACTCCAATCCGTCTGGCAGAAAGCACGCGCACATTCTGAAGGTGTGGGAGGTACGGTCTAAAAAGCTGGGACAAACTCTGCAGAACTGTCTGATCAAGCTACAGAGTGTGAACTTCATTTCTTACATCATGGAGGCCACTGAAGACTTCTGGGAGCATAGAATGCAATTTACAAAATACTCTAAAAACCAAAAAGATGACTGTGATGACTACTGTGGGTAACTCAGACCAAAACATATGAAAAATGGGAAACAGATCAGTTAAAAGAACTTCCCACTAGTCCACTGAAGAAAACCGGGTCACAGTATTAGAAACAGGAAGGTCAAATAGGAAGAGTAGAGAGAAAGAACACAGGGCTTGGTGACTGACAAGAGATTCAAAGGCAGAAACACAAAAGACTGAGGTTTGTAGCTTTTGAGACTAGTAGAATAAAAGTCAGAAGACGAGCGGCTTGGGGGTGGAAGGTGGAATGCTCTGAGATATTACTACACTCTAACTGTATTGCAGGAGTGTAAAATACTACAAGCAGTGTTTTAGATTTAACTACCAAAAAAGCTGAAGTTAAAATAAATACATATATATATATATATATAAAATATGTTTTGACTGACCATATTTTCTAACCTGTACTCAGATCATGTTTAAATTTTGAGTCATGTTGCTAAAACTTCACTGATATTTCATTAGTTTTTGGAAAGTAGAATTCTATTCAGCCTGGTGACTGTTACATTCAGAAATGAGTATTATTTTCAAGGTCTTAATAAATCAATAGGAATTCATTATTAAACTAAGCAATATCATATAATGTTAATAATTTAGAAAATACAACATTTGAAGGAAATTAAGAATTACTCAAGTTTTAATTCCAATATTGATAGTTTAGGCTCCTTATTAAAAGACAGCTTTTTTCTCATGGAAATCTCTTCCCTGAATAAATGAAAGTTGTATTAAAGAAAGTACAGTACTTGGATGCAATCACAAAAACGACAGAATGATCTGTTTGTATCCAAGGCAAACCATTCAGTATCATGGTAATCCAAGTCTATGCCCCAACCAGTAATGCTGAAGAAGCTGAAGTTGAACAGTTCTATGAAGACCTACAAAACCTTTTAGAACTAACACCCAAAAAAGATGTCCTTTGCATCATAGTGGACTGGAATGCAAAAGTAGGAAGTCCAGAAACACCTGGAGTAACAGGCAAATTTGGCCTTGGAGTACAGAATGAAGCAGGGCAAAGGCTAATAGGGTTTTGTCAAGAGAATGCACTGGTCATAGCAAATACCCTCTTCCAACAACACAAGAGAAGACTCTACACATGGACATCACCAGATGGTCGACACCGAAATCAGACTGATTATATTCTTTGCAGCTGAAGATGGAGAAGCTCTATACAGTCAGCAAAAACAAGACTGGGAGCTGACTGTGGCTCAGATCATGAACTCCTTATTGCCAAATTCAGACTTAAATTGAAGAAAGTAGGGAAAACCACTAGACCATTCAGGTATGACCTAAATCAAATCCCTTACAATGATACAGTAGAAATGACAAATGGATTCACGGGATTAGATCTGATAGACAGAGTGCCTGATGAACTATGGATGGAGGTTCGTGACATTGTACAGGAGACAGGGAGCAAGACCATCCCGAAGAAAAAGAAATGCAGAAAAGCAAAATGGTTGTCTGAGGAGGCCTTACAAATAGCTGTGAAAAGAAGAGAAGCAAAAAGCAAAGGAGAAAAGGAAAGATATTCCCATTTGAATGCAGAGTTCCAAAGAATAGCAAGGAGAGATAAGAAAGCCTTTCTCAGCAACCAATGCAAAGAAATAGAGGAAAACAATAGAATGGGAAAGACTAGAGATCTCTTCAAGAAAATTAGAGATACCAAGGGAACATTTCATGCAAAGATGGGAATGGTATGGACCTAACAGAAGCAGAAGATATTAAGAAGAGATGGCAAGAATACACAGAAGAACTGTACAAAAAAAGATCTTCACGACCCAGATAATCATGATGGTGGGATCACTCACCTAGACCCAGACATCCTGGAATGCAAAGTCAAGTGGGCCTTAGAAAGCATCACTACGAACAAAGCTAGTGGAGGTGATGGAATTCCAGTTGAGCTATTTCAAATCCTAAAAGATGATGCTGTGAAAGTGCTGCACTCAATATGTCAGCAAATTGGGAATACTCAGCAGTGGCCACGGGACAGTCAGTTTTCATTCCAATCCCTAAGAACGGCGATGCCAAAGAATGCTCACCCTACTGCACAATTGCACTCATCTCACATGCTAGCAAAGTAATGCTCAAAATTCTCCAAGCTAGGCTTCAGCAATACGTGAACTGTGAACTTCCAGATATTCAAGCTGGATTTATAAAAGGCAGAGGAATCAAAGATCAAATTGCCAACATCTGTTGGATCATCAAAAAAGTAAGAGAGTTCCAGAAAAACATCTACTTCAGCTTTTTTGACTATGCCAAAGCCTTTGTGTGGATCACAATAAACTGTGGGAAATTCTTCAAGAGATGGGAATACCAGACCACCTGACCTGACTCTTGAAAAACCTGTATGCAGGTCAGGAAGCAACAGTTAGAACTGGACATGGAACAACAGACTGGTTCCAAATAGGAAAAGGAGTACATCAAGGCTGTATATTGTCACCCTGCTTATTTAACTTATATGCAGAGTACATCATGAGACATGCTGGGCTGGAAGAAGCACAAGCTGGAATCAAGATTGCCGGGAGAAACATCAATAACCTCAGATATGCAGATGACACCACCCTTATGGCAGAAAGTGAAGAAGAACTAAAGAGCCACTTGATGAAAGTGAAAGAGGAGAGTAAAAAAGTTGGCTTAAAGCTCAATATTCACAAAACTAAGATCACGGCATCCAGTCATCACTTCATGGCAAATAGATGGGGAAACAGTGGAAACAGTGGCTGACTTTATTTTTGGGAGCTCCAAAATCACTACAGATGGTGATTGCAGCCATGAAATTAAAAGACGCTTACTTTTTAGAAGGAAAGTTATGACCAACCTAGACAGCATATTAAAAAGCAGAGACATTACTTTGTCAACAAAGGTCCATCTAGTCAAGGCTATGGTTTTTCCAGTGGTCAAGTATGGATGTGAGAGCTGGACTGTGAAGAAAGCTGAGTGCTGAAGAATTGATGCTTTTGAACTGTGGTGTTGGAAAAAAAAATTGAAAGTCCCTTGGACTGCAAGGAGATCCACCCAGTCCATTCTAAAGGAGATCAGTCCTGGGTGTTCATTGGAAGGACTGATGTTGAAGCTGAAGCTCCAATACTTTTAGCCACCTGATGCGAAGAGCTGACTCATTTGAAAAGACCCTGATGCTGGGAAAGATTGAGGGCAGGAGGAGAAGGGGATGACAGAGGATGAGATGGTTGGATGGCATCACCGACTCAATGGACATGAGTTTGAGTGAACTCCGGGAGCTGGTAATGGACAGGGAGGCCTGATGTGCTGTGGCTCACGGGGTCACAAAGAGTCAGACATGACTGAGCAACTGAACTGAACTAAGGTGATTTGGGCTACCTAAGTGCTTTATTATCTCTGAATTGTTAAATCTAGGGGGAAAGCTCATATTACTGAACTATACAGTTTGTGGGACTAAATCCCCTATGCCAATAAAAGTATACATTTTTAAACTTTTTTATTTTGTACTGGAGTACAGCCAATTAACAATGTTGTGACAGTTGCAGGTGAACTGCTAAGGGACTTAATGGATACACATATATCCATTCTCCTCCAAATAACCCTCCCATCCAGGCTGCCACATAACATCCAGCAGAGTTCCCTGTGCTATACAGTAGGTCCTTGTTGGTTATCCATTTTAAATATAGCAGTGTGTACATGTCTGTCCCAAACCCCCTAACTACCCCTTCCTCCCATGAAAAAAACATAAATGTATATAAATGCACAAACTAAGAAGTATATGTTATATACTCACAGACTTTATAGCAGTTACTTTGTTTCTCAGACTTTCCGTGAGTCTCTCGTTCTCCTCTTCACAGGCACTGTACCCACTACTGGGATAGCCATAGTTCCCAGAGTTGCCAGGGGGCGCTCCTTCACCTGCAAGGATCAGTCCTGAGCAGAGTTGAAGCAAAAACAAGTCCCTTCTGAAACCCTGACTAGAGAGAACCGAAAAAGACCCCTGGAGGGTGCTGACAGACAGACCAGGCATATCTGTAACACTCACACTCCAAATGAACTTTAAGAATAATAACCAAATAGAGATCAGAACAACTTTAATTACCTCTCTTAAGCAAAGGATACTGAATTCAGCTCAATACGCATTTGTTGACTGCTTACTGATTGCCCATAAGACTCTGATATAGACACTGATATATAAATAGACACTGGTATTCTGGATTTATTTCCTGCTCTCTAGAAATATACCATTATAACATACACATACACACACACACACACACACACACACCCCTAAAATTAGTACCATCAACTACCTATGGAAGAAGCTTGGCTGTGAAGGCAAAGGCAGAGACAGGATAATACAACAGGATGGAGTTTATGGCAGAGGGAAGGTCCTTTATGGGCATCTCTTTTAAACAGAAGAGAATTAGAATAACTTATGGAGAATATTAACTGAGATTTAGGAGGGAGACTCATTCATTCTATCATGCATCAGATCCCTTGTTCTTTCTAGGTTCTATCAAGACTTTTCAAAGCTCATCTTCTAGGGAAGCGCATTGGGATACAGGACAACAGTCCCAGGCACTGCCCAATATAACTCGATATTCATCAGGCACTCCAGCAGGTGAGTGAGCCTTGAACAGTGAATACATATACTAACACGTTGGAGGACTCAGAAAGGAAAGCATAGTTGAGGGTATTATCTAACTGCATTTAAAAGAAAAAAAAAAAAAACTGTTGACAATTTTCTCAGTGATATAAGAGAAAAGCCTGTCTTTGAAGAATGGTGATCTTTTGGGGGAAAAAACTAGAGAATAATGGAGGAAAATAACTGGGGTTGTACAGGATTACTACAGGGATAAAGCAATTGTGGCTGAGAAAATTATACTGTAGTGTGATTTTTCACCTGGATGTGTGATTTTTCTGCAGAAAAACTGATCAGCCTATGTCGGCCCATGAGCACCTGCAGGGCTGGACGGAACAAGAGCTGGAGTGCAGTGTTGGGGCTGCTGAAGAACAGGGCCCCAAGATGCTGAGATTCCTTGTCCAAAGAACAGGTGATATACATGGATTCTGGGGGCTAGACTGGACACAGACTGTACTGTCAGTGGGAGCCTGACTCCATGGAGGAAAGGCATAGCACAGAGACCAGAGCTCTCCGCCTACTCAGAGCGGATGAAGGGGCAGTGACAGTGCGACAGAAGGGCAGAACGCAGCAGGCAACACTGATGATGGAGGAAGGGCTGGAAAGTGAACAGAAAGCTCTTTCCAGGCATAGTAAAACTCTCACTTTCTCTAAAAAGCAAAACTTGCTTTTGAATTCTTACAGCTCTGACTATACATAACACTAATATCATGCTCCAGACTGCACTCCAAGGGCAGAAACTAAATTTGTTCTGCTCATGGCTATAGATCCCCCCAAAAATATTCACACAGTAAGGCATAGCCAGTAAATAACTTGTAAATGAACTAACCAATGAACAGAATCTGAATTCAGCTGTTCAGCTCTGAATGTGTCTGCCTTTGTCAACACTGGGGTCATAAGCTTCTTTGAGGACAAAAGTGGTCTCTCATCCTTTTTCTGTATCCCTGTATCTAACAAGTATTTCAAGCAGTAGACACACAATCTCCACCACCACAAAAACCACAACAAAATGTTAAACAAGTATATTACTGAGGGGAAAGAGTTGCCTTCCTCAAATTTCCCTCAGTTGCTGATCCATTATCTACAAAGTTCTGTAATGTGCCATTGTACAATGTAAGGACAAGTGACTAGACATAATATTTCCCTCTACTCAACAATTAAAAGAATCATTTAAAACATGTTCATCAATAATATGCTATACAAATTCTACTTTAATATAGACCAAAATCCTTAAAGGGAATAAAAATATCTTCATATTTTATATGATTAATATGCTACATATATAATATTCACCCAGTAAGTCATTACTGACTGGTTGAATTAACCACTTGACAACTTCCCCAAGGAATTCAGTTCTAAATTAGTGGCTAGTTGTTTCCACTTCCTTCATTATTATTTTTGCATATCTTATTTTTATATATTTTTAGAATTCTTCTACACTGCTCCATTTATTAAAAATGAAATTCCCATTTTATTTATTGTCCAGAAATCTTTCAAAGCACCTTCTCCTATTAAAGAGTTAATCTTCCCTCACACCATCATCCATCCCCAATATTTAAAAAAAAAAAAATCAAAAGTTAGGAGCTGTTATTCCAAGTTTAGCCACTTCTTTTTTGTGACTTACTGGCATGAAAATTTGTAGGAAACCTAATGGGTGTCAAAGATAATCCTCAGACTGTGTCTATAAACAAATGCTACTTCTGGATAGTTTCTATCATAAATGAACCAAGTCACTTAGACGGTCATGTGAACTGTGGGCCTGGAAACCCACAACCCAGTCCAGTATCCTTGCCTGGAAAATCCCCTGGACAGAGGAGCCTGGTGGGCTACAGGTCTTGGGGTCACAAAGAGTTAGGCACGACTAAAGCACCAAGCGTGCACATGAAGTGCGGGGGTTTCTCTCCAGGAATATTCATCAGATTCATGACCCCAACACACAGATACTTAAAAAAAAAAGAAGCTCTTGTCACATCACGTCACATCACACCAATGTAACTTACAACAACAGACACCTAAGGAATCACCTTTCCTCCTCTCAACTACAGGGGACTTTAAAAACAAACTAAACAAACGAAAAAAACAACTCTATCCTAGAGATTCTAACTTAGTTGGTCTGGGCTGGGGTCCAGGTATTCAAGCCTTAAAAGCTCTCTAGGTGATTCTAGTGTACAGTCAGGGCTCAGAACCACCATCTCTCAAGTTCCTCTCTCTGCAATTTCACAGCACACTGCTGCACAAAACTTTCAAAAAGGCCCAAAGACCTACTGATGAGATCCAAATTCTTTGACCTGGTACTCAAAGGTCTCCACAGTGTGGTTGGCTCTGGTTCTACGTCTCCTACTTCGACCGAATTGGTTTAATCATAATCCCTTAAACACATCATTAATAATTCTAGATTCTAGTCCTACAATTGTTTTGGAGCAAGGAGAGGATCACACTTCCAACTGAAAACAAACTCTCCTACACTTTGCTATTTCAGCTGCAGTTGAGGATTCTGTGTCCACACAAATTACCAAGTGCTCTCTGTGAAATCCCTGGGACATTCACGGCCTGTAGAACTTATTTGGTTGTATAGCTACCACCTTGTACTATAATTTATCTTTGTACATATTTCTACTCCTCAACTAGATTAGAAGCTTTGGGGATCATCAAGAGAGCTACACAGGACGTGTGTGAGTGCTCAGTCCTGACTGGCTCTTTGTGACCCCATGGACTGTAGTCCGCCAGGCTCCTCTGTCCATGGGATTCTCCAGGCAAGAATACTGGAGATCTTTTTCCAGGGGATCTTCCCCCAGGGATCGGACCCGCATCTCTTGTGCACCTCCAGCATTGGCAGGTGGATTTTCTACCACTAAGCCACAGGGAAGCCACAAAGGACTGTATACCTAGAGCTTACTCAAATACACAATAAATGCCTACTGTCATTAATGATAAAAAGGAAACTCATTTAGGCACATAAAACTAAACTTGTTCAAAATGAGTCATCTTTTTTCTCTACAATTTACCCAGCCAATTTTCCTTTTATGACCCAAGTATTCACAAAAACTACATTTTTCAAGAGCTTTTTCTCATACTACAATTTACTAATCGATGTACATGCCTAGAGTTATTAGCAACTTTCACTAACTTTAAATACCTGACACTTTTGAAAACTTTTTTCCACTGAATTATAAGAACTGAAAAAGGTAACAAACATTATCCTTTTTCAAGTATTTCATATATTTTCTCAGGTATACCGTATATTAATATGGCAGGTTTCTTCTTTTCTTTTTTCCCAGTCATCTCTTAATAGTTCCAGAACCAGAAAATGCTGTTTTATCGGCTCTGTGCTGTAACAGCCCACTGTAAATTCCCGTGCCTAATTTGTTCTGCTGCTTACTGAAACTACTTCCTAGGCCAAAAGTCAAGAACAAATGCTAAGTCACCAGGTGTTACTACACTCTACCGTCTTACCAGTGGAACAAGGGTCAGATAAGAAATGTTCTGGGTAAAATGGCCTTTGACTCCGAAGATCCACATCACGGCCTTTAACAAAAATGACATGTGTGTTTACCTCTGTAACTCACTGTTACCAGGCTAACACGATTATTATCAGTGTGTTTTGCATGCAACACTCTTCAAACTTCACTTCTGAAGAAACCAACATTAGGTCCAGTAGAGAGAAGTCGAAGGCAGACTTCAGCAACTCTGGAAACTCAGCAATTGCCGTAACCGCGCTCAGACCGCACCTGTACATACCTCACCCCTAGTTCTCCACTATTCCATCTAAACCTACCATCCATAACTTGAGACAGAACCAAACTTAAAGAACCCACTAGGATCTGGAACAAATGGTGCTGTTTCCACTTGACACCACCTCCAAAGACCCTTCCATACACCCTGGTCTCTGTCTCAGATTCCAGAGACAAGAGGCCAGTCCGGTTTCCCCCCGCACGCCTGCGCCCAGCACCGCCAGTTCTAGGGTCTCGGAACTTCGAATCTCAGCCCTCTTCTTACCCAGGCCTGCACGCCTCATCCTGCCAGAGAAGTGGGGGAAAAGGCGGGCGGAGGGGTGGGTAGGAAGAGGCCAGGGGCCACCTGGACCGCGTCCTCAGGACCAGGGCCCAGCGAAACAGCAACTTCTTCCTCCAGTGCGCCACGACATCAGTAGTCTAAACACCGCGCTGGCTGATGACGTCACCCAGGCGCTTACTGGCGCCCTGCGAAGCGGCTTGAATGGCATTCTGGGAAATATAGTTCGCCGCCGAGGCCGAGCAGGAGGCCGGGACTTGAGGTGAACGGGTAAGGAAGTGGGCGGGGCTTCCGGCAAAGGGGCGCGTGCTGCTTCAGCTGCCACTCCGGACCTGGGACTCAGACTCCGGACCTGGAACGCTGGATTTCCGCTCTTGGACTGGCTCTTTCTCTCCGCTGCCGGAGCCCGAATTTAAATCAGTACATCTGTCCTCCCCAGACCATAAGAGGATGGTTAACTTCTCTTTCCCGATTCCGCCTCTCACTGCCTGTCACCACGAGTTAGTTCAGGTAAAGTCAAAGAAAACTTTATCCAAGTTTCTGGTCTCACACATAAGTCATCTGAGACCCATTGAAGGGACGGAAGAGGGGTAGCCAGTTGGTGCCCGGGTCACCTGGTGGTGTAGAGTAAATCCAAGCCCCTCGTACCAGGATCCTGCTCCATTGAACTAGTCGATCAAAATAACTGGGTCTCCTCAGAGGCAGTGGAGACTTCATTTCCGTTACTGAGTTGGTTGCATTTCTAGAAAGACGCACAGCTATTAGTTAAGGAACCGAAGGACCTCTAAACTTCCCCCTACTTAGATCTTTTAAACTTACACAAAGGATACCAAAATACTGTTTACACATGGTAAGGTGCCAATTTAAAGAGTTTATAAGCTTGTTGGTGGAGGTATAGGAGTACTGGAATGGCGGTTATTCCTAGAATTTCATTGTACCTCGTAGGATTATGGTGAGGATTGAATGAGGAATTAAAAAAAGAATCTGATACACAGTAGATGAACAAAAGCCATTGGATCATTGCAGTTCCGTCCTTGCTACTGTATGACACTTAGATAATCTTTGTACTAGAGATTTCTGAGAAGGCAATCTCTGGTCACTTCAGTCAGTTCAGTTCAGTCGCTCAATCGTGTCCCACTCTTTGCGACCCCATGAATCGCAGCATGCCAGGCCTCCCTGTCCATCACCAGCTCCCGGAGGCCACCCAAACCTATGTCCATTGAGTCAGTGATGCCATCCAGCCATCTCATCCTCTGTTGTCCCCTTCTCCTCCTGCCCTCAATCTTTACCAGCATCAGGGTCTTTTCAAATGAGTCAGCTCTTCACATCAGGTGGCCAAAGTATTGGAGTTTCAGCGTCAGTATCAGTCCTTCAGTGAACACCCAGGACTGATCTCCTTTAGGATGGGCTGGTTGGATCTCCCTGCAGTCCAAGGGACTCTCAAGAGTCTTCTCCAACACCACAGTTCAAAAGCATCAATTCTTCAGCACTCAGCTTTCTTCACAGTCCAACTTTCACATCCATACATGACCACTGGAAAAACCATAGCCTTGACTAGATGGACCTTTGTTGACAATGTAATGTCCCTGCTTTTTAATATGCTGTCTAGATTGGTCATAACTTTCCTTCCAAGGAGTAAGTGTCTCTTAATTTCATGGCTGCAATCACCATCTGTAGTGATTTTGGAGCCCCCCAAAATAAAGTCAGCCACTGTTTCCACTGTCTCCCCATCTATTTGCCATGAATTGATGGGACCAGATGCCATGATCCTAGTTTTCTGAATGTTAAGCTTTAAGCCAACTTTATGACTCTCCTCTTTCACTTTCATCCAGAGGCTCTTTAGTTCCTCTTCACTTTCTGCCATAAGGGTGGTGTCATCTGCATATCTGAGGTTATTGATATTTCTCCTGGCAATCTTGATTGCAGCTTGTGCTTCCTCCAGCCCAGCGTGTCTCATGATGTAACTTTGCATATAAGTTAAATAAGCAGGGTGACAATATACAGCCTTGACAGACTCCTTTCCCTATTTGGAACCAGCCTGCTGTTTCATGTGTTCCCTTATAGTTTCTCAATAGGAACATTGACTATAGTAGTGGCAGAGTGAGTCTCTGCCCTCGGTTGTTTTTGTAAAACACACACAAAACCATTTTTTAAAACTTTATTTTATATTGAAATACAGCTGATTAACAATGTTGTGATAGTCGAGGTGCACAGCAAAGTGACTCAGCCATACATATACTTGTATCTATTCTCCCCCAAGCTCCCCTCCCATTCAGCCTGCCACATGTTGAGCAGAATTCCCAATGATATATGGTGGGTCCTTGTTGGTTATCCATTTTAAATATATGGATTTAAACTGTGTACATGTCAAAAAAGCCAATTTTTAATAAAAGTTATTAACCTGGGAAATAAGCTTAATCCAATAACGTTTTGAGAGGAAAACATTCTTCATAAAGATATACCACCATTTTCTAAAAACATGAGAATTAAGTGAAGATTTTATCAGAAATAGTTATTCCAAATAAACACTGAAGTTTTAATAAGAGAAATGATGGCATTTTATCTTACAATCTGTGACAGTTCCTTCTTTTGTAAGAAGTACATGTGTTCTCTAATCAAAACATGTCAGAAAAATCATCTTACTTAGAAAGCTTTCTCATACTAATGTAATTTTTTAAATCGAACATTAAGTTTACCAAAGCAGACTGTTTAAATTACAGAAGTACTTATCCTCTTAAAAACTGCTTCCCCTACATGGTACTGTGCGGTGCTTAGTCACTCAGTTGTGTCCAACTCTTTGCAACCCCATGGACTATACCCTGCCAGACTCCTCTGTCCATGGGATTCTCCAGGCAAGAATACTGGAGTGGGTTGCCATGCCCTCCTCCAGGGGATTTTCCCAACACAGGGATCCAGCCCAAGTCTCCTTCATTGCAGGCAAATTTTTTACCATCTGCGCCACCAGGGAAGCCCAAGAATACTGGAGTGGGTAGCCTATCCCTTCTCGAGGATAAAGGAGTGGGTAGCCTATCCCTTCTCGAGGATAACTTTTGGACTCAGAAATTGAACCAGGGTTTTCCTGCATTGCAGGCAGATTTTTTACCAACTGAGCTACCAGGGAAGCCCCCCCTACCCCTACATGATAGGGAGATGTAATAATAAAATGTAAAAGAGAGAAAAAAATAAAATAATGAAAGGTACTAAGAATATAATGCCAGGCAGGCAAAGCTGGCTTTTATTGAGCTGGTGACCTGAAAATCCAAATGGTCACTTTCTCCTTTCTGCAAGAGAAGTTCTGGTTCATGTGCTCTTTCAGAGTTGTCAGGGCCCACACTTATTCAGTCATGGACTTAACACACTTGTACTCACTTTGAAGTGAGTTTTGCTGAACTTTCATGTGTTATGGGTCCACTGGCATTCTGTGCTCATGGGGTACCACATATGTTACATGGAATGAGATGTCAAGGAATGATAAACATGTGTATTGCACTGGCCCTTGTCTGCAGAGATAAGTCTTCCAAGATAGTGGGGACATAACTGGTAGATAAAAAGGAAGAGAGTGAGGGAATATAGAAGACATACATACCCATACAGAGACTATTTTTGTATGTGATGTTAGGAGGTGTTCTAATTTCATTCTTTTACATGTAGCTGTCCAGTTTTCCCATCACCATTTATTGAAGAAGCTGTCTTCTCCATTGTATATTCTTGTGTCTTATGTCAAAGATAAGGTGCACAAAGATGCATAGGTTTATATGTGGGCTTTCTATATTGCTCCATCTGTATTTCTGTTTTTGTTCAGTACCATACTGTCTTGATGACTGTAGCTTTGTAGTATAGTCTGAAGTCAGGAAGGTTGATTCCTCCAGCTCCATTTTTCTTTCTTAAGATTGCTTTGGCTATTCAGGGTCTTTTGTGTTTCTATTACAAATACTGATCAAGATGACATAACTGAGAAGTGAAATTTTCAGGGAAACAAAAAAATAGAGTATGTAATGCCCCAAGCAAAAGGAATGAAAGAATGGAAAGGGGTTGTAAGTTGCACCATTTTCCCAAACCACCCGCCAGGTTGGCTTCTGTCTTAGTAAGTGGTTAATGAACTGTAGATGAGTGAATTTCATGTGACTTGGTGGGTATAGGCAGTAGAAAAAATTTTTTGTCATGGTGGGCATGATATCAGAGAACCTGAAAGCTAGATAGAGTGTGATTGCAAAGATAAGGCTTTTTCTCATGTTTCACTCTGAGATATTTCAATCTTCCAGCAATTCTGATATATTACTAAGACCTCATTCTGGGAAATGACTCCTTCCTTAATGTCAGTGAATCAGTAGCTTTGATTTGTTTTTCCCCGAATATCTGGACCCACAGCAAAGCTAAATTTCAAATGGCACTTTACATAGGCTGCCCTTATGATAGTCCAATTTTAGAGACATTCTTAACATTTATAAAACAGTGCTTTAGGTTAAAGATGATAGATTTAATTTCCATTGCTTATAAAATATTAATGCATGTTTCAAAAGACTCTGCTTTATTTCTCGAAGTTAGAAACCAGAGTATCTAACTTACAGATTGCTTTATAAGGTAATATTTTTTTAATGGACACTAAAGTTAACTTATATGCAGAGTACATCATGAGAAATGCTGGGCTGGAAGAAGCACAAGCTGGAATCAAGATTGCTGGGAGAAATATCAATAACTTCAGATATGCAGATGACACCACCCTTATGGCAGAAAGTGAAGAGGAACTAAAAAGCCTCTTGGTGAAAGTGAAAGAGGAGAGTCAAAAAGTTGGCTTAAAGCTTAACATTCAGAAAACTAGGATCATGGCATCTGGTCCCATCACCTCATGGGAAATAGATGGGGAGACAGTGGAAACAGTGTCAGACTTTATTTTTTGGGGCTCCAAAATCACTGCAGATGGTGACTGCAGCCATGAAATTAAAAGACACTTACTCCTTGGAAGGAAAGTTATGACCAATCTAGACAGCATGTTAAAAAGCAGGG